GGTTGCACGCGGGGCGCGGCCGCGCTCAGCACAAACGCGCGGACTCTGTTTTGTATCTAAATCTTTATTAGAACAATCCCCAAGAGCTGTAAAACAGTGAAGTAGCAACAAAATTAAATATTAAACACTTCCGTTATCAAAGATATTTAAACAATACGTTCCTATTTCTGCATAGCAGAAGCAAACAGGTTTTAGAGCTCAAACTGTCATGCTCATGTTAATTTGGTTTCGGCAAGAGAATAATACAACCCTAATAATCACGTTAATGAAACGGTAACCTCCCATTTCTTAAACCTTAAAGAGCCTTTTTTGCGATTTTACAACTCATCGTTTGGGACAAACACGTGGACTTTTTGTAGCATAGAGTAACAGACAATTTTAATATTAGTAGCACTCTTAAACATGAAGAAACAGTTATCTTTCTAATTTGATTACAGTGCAGTACAAATTATGTATTACCTCAAAAATCATCGCCTGTATCAAAAGTTAAAAAATTTAGAATAATTTATAAAACACTTCCAGAATAGCAAATTATCCATCTTGAAATGGAGAATGAACTTAATGAACACGCAAACAGATGTATCACAGTAACGTACTATGTATTTGCTAGCTTTTTTTCCTTCTATTTGAAGTAGGAAGAGCCCAGTTCTCCCCGCGGTTGCACAGGTACAACACGTATGACCACTGTAACTGAAAGCAGAATAGGCCCTACCCAGAAGTTCACTGTACCGTAAATTAAAGCTATAAAAAACATCTACAGTCTTGCATTGTTTTTATTGAATTATTTGCAACACCACAATTGTCATGGGTTTCCTCCCAGACCGCACAGCCTACTTCCACGATCCGACACCAGCAACGGGGAAATTGTGCGTGCTGCATTACGCAGTTCAAATACATCTGACATCTTTTCTACAACTCATTTTATATCAGTTAATTTGAAGTAAAGATAGCATTGTTTTTCCTAACTAGCCTTTTCTGTTTTGTAGTCTACATGGTGTGAATAAAACTTCAAAATATACGCCAGGTAAAATAATAGCCAGTAAGGCACTTTGTCAGAGAGGACACAGCTGTCCAGGCTGAGCAACTGGTCAAAGGGAGACATTCTACGTTACCGAACACAGTCAGTCTATTCTTCATAATCACTTCTCTGACAACCCATTTTTAGAAGAATACTTACTGACTGTCCCAGAATTGGCTTGACATTGCGTCCGCCAAAATCTTTTTCCTGTTCTACAGCAGAACATGCAACAGCAAAATATTTCGTGCTGTTAAATACTAATGTTTAAAAGGCTATTCAGCATCCTGGTAGCACCCAAGAATCAGCTGCTGAATAATACTTGGAAAAAAAACCCTCAGCATAAGGAATGATCTCATCTTTCTTGTTTCTTTGTTTTGTTTCAGGGGTCACTTTTTTCCTTTTTTTTAAACAAAATTTGAAGGCTTGACATCAAAACTTTGGTCTAAAACATGTAAATGAAAGCCATCCACTAATATGTCATAGGGAGACACAATGAATCCAGCCGGAACTAAACCAAACATGACTGCATGGATACGATAGCGGGTGTTTTCTACTGTCTCTTGGTTTCTATTCTGCTTGTTCGAGACCTTCAAGAGAGTTCTTTCTACTCGAGTAAAAGGGTCTTTCTGCAGAGCCACCCTGCCTTTCCAAAGCTTCTCACAGGAGAGGAGGCGCCCAGCCGAGGGGCTGAGCCCCTCGTGAGCGGCAGTACGACGGGCGCCCGCCGGGTTCTCAGTTCTAACATCTCCTCCTCTGCTGTGCTGTGCGCACAGAACAACCAGCCTTTTGTCACTTGTGTCACAGGGCTGGCCCGTGCCTCATGGAACGGGTGGACATTTTGTCACCGACTCCCGTGGGCTCAGGAGCAAAGCATGTATGACATATTTTACCGTGTTACAGATAGCCACGTGTTCCACTCTCTAAGGTGAAGGATGGAATTTTAAATTTTATACCAAATCAAGCAACAAAGTAAATGTCCAAACCCATAAAAGTCACTACTAGTACCTCCTCTGTGGTGTCAGTCTGCAGACTCTGGCCCACAGGATTAGTTAGGAACCATTACAATAAGCTAGTCTTAAAATATTTTAAGTGATTCTTTCCCAAGTAAATACTTGCATTAATTTCTACTTAATTCATTAATAGCAATTTATTTTTAAAAAGCCAATTTTAATATTAAATCATTATTATTTATTTATTCAATTTATTGATTACAAAATCTACATGGTATTGCTTTGTATTTTCACAGTTCTCATAATTATATCGTTAAGAAAATGGCTTTTAAATTTTCTTCTCAGAAATGATGATCACTTACATTCTAAATAATTTCACAAAATAGTGAGCGGAGCAAATTTATACATATATATTTTTACTGTATATAAATAATAATACATTTTAAAACTTTAAGTTTTAGAAATTCCTTTAGTAAATGCATAGGTTTATTAAAAAAGTCTTCTAATCAAATAACTGTATACTATTTCTATTATGTTTTATTCCTAGTAAACTCTATGGTTACATTCATATGATAAAAAAAGCACGCTGTATTCAGAAATACACTTTTTCAGTTGAGCTCCCAGTAAGACACTCAAGTCCAGTAGAAATATAGATTACTTAATGCAGTTTCTTTAGCTGCAAACCGATCACACAGTAGTATTAAAAAAAAAAAAAAAAAAAGCTTTAGCACGTGGACTGTAATCAGACCAGCAGCTTTTGTAATCACAGAATGGTGACACATACCCCCAAAAGTTACTGACTTAATTCTCAGAAGAAATTAGAATAATGGGGGTTTGTATATTCAATGCCACGCACATAATGAGAAAGGAATGATGACGATGATGAAAGACTTCAGAAAAAATCAGACTCTTGACTGATGAAGGTAGGTTTCTCAGCCCTTTCTGAAAGTCAGGTTTACTCTAGGGTATCTCAAGAGGGGTTATCAAAAACTGAAGGTGCCCACAATCAGTAGTTACATCTGAAACTGTACGCCTTTATTTCACATTATTTGAGTCCTAAACTGAACCACTCATTTCTGCTTCAGGGGAAAGGGCTGCGGTGCCCAATGGATCACAGAGAATGCATACGGGTATCCTGTCACTTGCACCTCAGCTGACAGGATTTCAAGATCCTGCCATGCCCATGACTGCAAGTGTGTGGGTGGTAACCACTTGTGCACCAACGTGACCCCAGACCTGTTGCGTGAAGGACAGTATTTCTGCCTTTGTAGCGATGACAGTCATCACAAACTGGAGCCATAAGTTAGAGAGCAAAACCACTTTGGGATGTGGATCATCAGTAAATTTTCCCCAGAAACTTGCATTCAAATCACCTGGAAAGGAATTTGCCTTTCTCTTTGTGACACCAATGGACTCCTGGGGCTAGAAAAGTATTTCCAGGCGCTGAACTCCTGTAACAGATCTGGCAGAGGTATGGCACACGCCACTGCGGACAGTAATGGAATACGGTGGAATCCATGAAAACTAGGGGCAGGCCTCAGTACGGTTGGGTCCTTGGGCATCCATGAGACTAATAAATGAAAACCTTTTCAGCTCAGCTCATGGCACTAACAGACTTGAGAAGTACGCCAGTGTAAGACTTTTTCCATGAGCAGAGCTGTTACTAACCTCAGTGACAGTTCTACTAATGGGAGGGTCATAGAACCGAACAGAATGTTAATGTGCTTTCTACCAACAGGTTTTGTACTACTGACCAGACAAATTTAATAATCAAAAAGCAAACTAAATCTTTTGGAGCATCTTTCGGTAGCTAAATAATTCATCCTGTGTCATGAGAAGAGCCGAGTTCAATGTCTTAATACCTTACTGCGTGAGCCACTGAGAGCCTGGAGACCTGCAGAAAGAGCACACCTGGCTCTCAGCAGCCGTACAGTCATTACAATGTCTTGTTAAGAAGCCCTTCTGAGCTAGGCAGAGGCAATGGAATTCCTTGTGCACATATATGGGCCAGGACTTTCTTCCAAGGAAAAAAAGACTGCATTTGGTTTTCCTTTCAGTGAAGCTCAACTTCCTCATAATGTAGAACACAATCAGAGACTCGTTAGAGATAGAGGGATATTAACACAAGTGCATCTCTCTTAGACATCAGCTAAAAATGATACATTCGCCATCTTGTACCAGATGAAACCTCATTTGTGTGAACCACAAATCACTTCCAGTGCAGTGGGACCTTCTCTCAGTTATACCATCTTTTAAGCACAACTCACAGAAAACTTCACTTTAAGCAGTATCAACTATAGTCTTCTCTGACTACCTTCTTTGGGACCTGCAGGGTACCATCATTTCTTAAAAGACGCAGTGGTGGATGTGATTAAAATATAAGGGAATCATTAATGCATGTATAATCACAGTTTAAATAGCTGTGAACCAGCTTTTACAGAAAAATACAATCATAGCACCATATTTACAAATTTAGTACCATCTCCCAGTTAACTAGAGAGTCTTGAACTATCTTTTTATGGCTAATTAGGTTATATGGTAGTGCTTTCAAAAAATTGCCTGAATTTCTTTTACAAATATACACTTATAAAAAGAAACATTATCAAAACTGCTGTCATCTAAGGCAGCAACTTGTGTTACAAAAATTATTAAAACATCATTATAGACTTAAAAAAGCTTCAAATTTACATTTTCCTTTTCATAGGCACTCTATAAACTAAAACGTGGCCTTATTTTCACAGCTGTTAGTTTAAGCATTTAAACTTGTTAAATGTTACCAATGTTGCTCATTTTTTTAGATATAAGCAAAAGGAAAAAAGAATCACCCATTAACCAGAAGCATAATTTACAGTTTTTACTTTTGCCTACTTTATACACGTTTTGCTTAAAAGTGACACTGTTTTGATGTTGAGGTTTAGTGTATGTTATCCCACTGCCTTCTTAGGGCTTAGTTCCTTCTTCCCTAGAATTCGGTGAAGGCTAGCTGACATGAAGTAGGGTTTTGCTGTAGATCCATCATTTCTTTCCAGGTCTTCACCTGAATTTACACAGCAAAAGCAGCCAAAAGAGCAAACAGCAGTACAACCACACACACACAGACACAGCGAGAGAGAATTGAAGAAAGGAGAGAGCAGAAGACCCAACATTAAAAAAAAATCTCAATCAAGGCAATTTAGCTGTGTTGTTAAGTTGATGAAGGACACTATAAAATTTCTATTTTCTCAAACCAGAAGAGGTTTTACACAAAGCAGAGACAAACATCTAGCCATTTTCAAATGACAGCAATATATCCTTTTTATTCTCCAGTTCTTTGGTTTGGCAGTATAGGTGGAAATTTTCAGAAACACTCATGCCTCCACTGAAGCCTGGCATTTTGGCTACTTCTTGCTAGAAAATTCGTCCCAAAGAGAGCTGTGGATTTAAGCACTTTTTAAAACTGGACCCTTTTTCACTGCCTAAGATAAAGGTCTTTTGAAAACCTGATGCCACAAGTGCACAATATTCTATATCATCTCCTGCTGTCCATTACTGAATGGAAGCATGGGAAGCAAAGCAGAATATGAATTTAAAATAACGAGGCAGACGTATTACTTTTTTTCCTACAGAAGGTCATGACTAAATCACTGGTCTGGGTTCAGCCCTGTGTTTATGCCATGCAGCAGTCACAGACCAGTGAAACAATTTCACACTGATGGGCAATCTGGAAGGCGTGTGCAGTGAAGCACAGTCATTGCAACTGCAACCCTGCAGAGGCAGACAGCTGTATCTGCAAAGCCAAAAAGAGAGCACTAGTTGTAAGGAATGGCCAAATTGGTTAGAGGAAGCAAATCTTCATGTACCTCCATGGCAGTATATACCATGTGTCTTTGGAATAAATTAAAAAGAAAATCTGTTAATTTTTTTAGTGCACCAAAAAACTTTCTAAATTTTATTAGTTTGATCAATTTCCATGTAATTCTAAATAATAGTAATCATTTATTTATGTATTTATTTTATGGTTTCGCTTATCTCTTGGAGTGTTATTAGTGCTATGTCTGCCTGTGATCATGTTTGTTTAGAACCAAAGTCCATAACTCGAGATAAATAGGATGTAGCTCTCAACTAGACATCAATTTTCAGTTTTCTGACTGATTTTGTTCCTGTGATTCTTTGGCAGCCCAGTATTTCCAGAATCACTGCTAACCTTAGTTCCTAGGGAAGCAGGGTTAAGAAGGTGAGCCTTTAAAGAAAAGAAAGAATTTATGCTATTGCAAGAGGAGAATCAGTATTACCATGTTCATCTTGCCTCAGTGATCCACTGTGCAAATGATAGATCAAGCCTATGACTATTTCAGTATTCCCTTAATATTCTCAAATAATTCACCAACTGCAAGAACAATCACTGCCATGTAACTTCTACTTGGACCTACCAGAATGACTTTCATTATAGAAAAACTGTATCTTTATTTCTTTAATTCAGTAAATCTAGCAAATGGAATGTATTTTGTAATAAGTACATCCTCTTCTTACAATCATGTCCTAATTTGAGACCAACAGATTTCTTTTGTGATTTCAGTATTCTCTGACTGGACACATTGAACAGCAGTCCCTTTGAAAGTGCCCATGATTGCTTGCCATTGGGGAGTCCAAGGGACAGATAGTTTTTAAAAAGGTATTTCACTCAAATTTGAAGGATATTCAGCATAATACTTTGTTCAGGGCTATTAAGCTGAAAACAAAGGACCACCTATATACCAAAGAATAACTTTGTTATTAACAAGAGGTTTGAGTGAATCATTGCTGTACAGGGCTCTTTACAAAGCACCCAGTAGCAAACTGTTAATGAAAGTTAAGGAACATCTGAAAAACAAAAGCCAGATATCCCCATGAGCCATATAGCTACCTTCCATTACATAAACTAAACTAATTAACTTTGAATACTAAAACACTTCTGCATTGAAGAATGCATCAAGGAGCCAGTCTGAAAAGCAGAAGCAGTTCGTTTTTCACACAGTCTGCTAGCATGTCACCAGAATTCTGTAAGGAACGGATAAGGTAGTTTTCTACTCCTCTTCCCATGACTTGCAGGTATTAGTGAAAGAAAATGTAGTACTTACAAAAGCAGAGGAAAAGCGTGTCGACACACATTGCATAGACGCTGAAGAACCCGTGTGCAACTAGGTAGGAGCCAATAATGACCGTCTACAAAAAACAAACCACAGTAAAACCCCAAATTTAGTTTGGCACTGATGTGGCAGTGTTAACACAAGTCAGAAGCCTAGTCTGCTGAGCAAATTTGGAAGGATTTAATGGCAGCCCTGTAATTCTGCCCAAGGTTACTACTGCTGTGGAAAGGGATCACAGGTTCAAGACACTGTATCCTAACATGCAGTAGCTGCTAGTTTTCCAGCTGCCAAATTGGAGCCATTTCAACCCCCAAAGAGAATACATGCCAAGAACATTCTGAACTCCTTCAAGACTATTCTCAAGACCCACTCATGCTAGAGATGTTCCAGAGTCTACGGGGGCTACAAAAGGAGAAAGAGATGCATCACAAGTCCCTTCCACTAGAAGCCACACTGTCATTGGTGCCTCACCACCAGCCTTTGTGTCTGGGAAGTCTGAGCAAAGCAGATGTGAAACCTAATTTTTCTGAAGGTGCAGGGTCACTGCAGTGCCACTTCTGCCTGACAGATCCAGAGGACTAGAGTGTGGCAGATCAGTCCTCACGTCAGTGGATAGTATGCCACTGAGAGGATGACAACAGGAGCTGTTACCAGACCATGCCCTGAGTAGTCTGAGCACCTCAAACTGCCCTCAGTGGTCAGGAGATCAGAAGGTTGCCTTACCAACAATGGTACCCAGTAGTAATTTAACGTTGGTGCTTCCTGTGCAAAGACTGGTATTCTCTGTGTGAAGAAAAAGAACGCAAGGACACCTGCAAGAAGCACAGAAGATTAGTGATTCCTATGCTAACTCTGATTTCCTAACACCTAAAGAATGGATGAGACAAAACAAACAGACAACAGATCCAAGGCTCATTTAAGTAAGAGTTTGTAAACAATAAATTCCTCAATACTAATTATCTGCTGAATCTGTATTCTGACAGAAGAGATATGTAAATGAATCAATTACCATAAAGATATTCATGGGCCCAGAAAGACTTTAATGAATTGTTGTTTCATCATTCTACTGTATTTAATAGCAAAATTAATAAATAATTATAAACAAGGCAATGACATGGGATAACAAAGACCTTTGGGTGGATCTTTTCTAAAATAAAAAAAGAGTGAGCAAAATTCTGCTGCTTTAAATTTTATTGCTTGAAGAAATACTTAAGTATTTCAGATTAAAAGGAGAAATGACGGTGCTAGTGATAAGCACGACAATAAGTTTAGAACAGACCATCCACAACAGGAATTGCCCAAAGAATTTATTCTCAAGGAGGACAGAGACATGAATTAATTTCAGTATTTCATGGCTTACATTTCAGAGAATATGTTTCAAATCAAATTTGCCACCCCAGTTTGAAAGTCATTCTACAGTAATGACAAAATATTTCAGATCTGTTCTTGGTACTAATTTTCAACTTTTGATTAAAATATAATTAATTACTAATCTTTTAAAGTATACAGAATACCAAATACGGTTATTTGTAAAATAATGTTTTGAAACTGCTGTGACAATTTAGAAAAACCATAAGGGAATATTGCCAACTTGAATTTCTGAAAGTGCTTCATTTAAAAAAAAAAAAATCACTTTTCTGTGATAAATAATATATCTTGATATTTACTGATAACTAAGAAAACCCTATAAGGATGTTAGAAATATTCTATTTCTTTTACTATAGCTTATAGCTATAATGGGCTTGAATACAGCAGAGCTTCAGGCCCACCTCCTGCAGACCTGCACCACCTCCTCTTGTATGCATGCTGTCTACTACCAGGTGAATCTCATTTGCAATTTTATTCAGTTCTTACGAAAGGAGAACTGATTGTGGCTGACTTATTGGATGTGAATTTGGTTTGATCCAGCTATGATGCTTTGGCCACAGAAGTCCTTGCACCAGCCACACATTCAAGAGCAGTAAAAGCAATTATGGAAAAGATGCTGTCAACAAAACAGTGGGGAAGGGGGGAAAAAAAGAAAAATATATTTTAGTTCAATCTTGCAAATCCTGGAAACACAGGAACAGCTTCCCAAATAATCAGACGAATAAGAACCTCCAGTTGTTAACTACGCATATACGAATACGGCAGGCATACTTGTAGGTACCAGAAAATAGAACATACCATTTGGAAAAAATCGATTAGCTTACCTACACCACCGGCAACAAGAATTTTCCCCAGGAATAAAAGAAAGTCTGTAACTTTGTCCAGAACTGCAACTCTGTTCAGCAAAGGACAAATGATACATAATCATCACAAACCAGACATTTGTATTCTTTCTCCTTAAAACTATGGATAATTGACAAAACACAACCAAGAAGCTGTCTTCTGCTGGTTTCACAGGCTGACAATACAACAATGCAGAAGCACAACACTGAGATGGGCTTTGTTACAGCCTAATCCCATGAGGCAAAAAAGCACTGAGCCTCTTGTTGAGTTAGGCCTTAATGTGGCAATACTGCTACAGCACTTGAAGACTGTTTATTGCTCTTGCTGCTTAAAAAAACCAAAACAAAACATCAAAATACTTTTATTTCAGCCTTTCTACTAGTGTCACAGATAAGCCAGCCCAGAAGAGGCAAAGTACACACCAAAACAAAAAGCAATGTTTGTGTAGATTGCTGGTAGGTTGTCTTTTCACTTGGTCCTATCTGGCCACATTTCATGTCCCCATAACATGCCAAAGCTACTATTTTAAGATATCATGGTACAACACTGAAGGCAGGAGGCCTCAAAGCAGGGAGACAATCACAGATAAATGAATGAAGGTAGACAGAAAAATTGACAGTAAATCTGCAGCCCTCATTGAAAGCAACAGCAGGGAGTTTCTGCTCGAAATCCTGCCAGTCTCTCTTATCAGAAACTGCAGGTAAATAATGGGATGGAAAATGAACTTTGTTATCATCAGCCTCTTAACAGCGCTGAAGGCTATGGAGATGGTAATATACAGCACTGACTACCATGAAAGATAAACGTTAAGAAATATTAAAGAGAACAAATCATCATTAACCTGTCATAATTCAGAATTAGCAAAATACACAAGATCAAAAAAATCTCTGTTTGAAACAATAAAATTATATGCCTGGCTTTTAGCTATTGCTCTTACTGATTAAGAGCAAAAGCACAAAGGACAGTGAGGTGATGTTCTGAAAGGAAACGAAGGCAGCTTCTCTTTCCTATTGCACAGGCACTACATGGTGTGGACACCACCGTACCGATATTAACACAGGATAACAGAATGAATGAACTCCATTCTCCCACCTCCAATCCTTTCCTCTTCTTTCTTAAGCATTGTTTCCATTTTCCTGTCTTTCAGCCTCCCCCTCCATTCCTCTCCTCCTCCCAGTCCTTTGCTTAATAATTTAAACCACCTAACCAGTTTTACTGTGTCTCTTGCTCGGTAATTAGATTGTCTGCTATTGCATCAACATGGCCTGCTTCTAAGTTATTCTCCCATTATTTTTTTATCTCACAGTAGTACAGGAAGAGCCATGAGAAATGAAGAAAAGTACTGATGAGAACAGGGAGTTTGGCAGGAGTCTTGGTAGTGGGGAAAAGGGCCAGGGGAGTTCCCAGCACCAGGGGACATCTGGTTATGTTAAAGATACTGGTTTTGAAAGCAAAGTACTCTCTCTTCTTTACTGCCACTCTCTGACACCCCATAAGCTTTCTGGATGAATCTGAAGACTTAGGTCTTTCTGCTTTCCTTTTCACGAACGGTGAGCAGACCAAAGCTCAAGAAACACACATACAGCAGATGATGAGCACCCCATTCCTGTATATCCCTAGATCTCCTCTCAGGGGCTCCATTGGTTCCTTGGAGGCACCGTTACAATCTACTGGGTGCTTATGAATTTAAAAGAGCAACAAAACTATTAGATTATATCAACTTTGCATAGGTTACTGTACTGGACAGCCTGCTGTTACACACTGAGTGTTAGAAGTGAGGGCCATGTCTGAGGACAGAAGCTGTTTACAATAATATTTGGAGGAGATGTGGGACAGGAAAGAAGTATGTCTTCAGAGTGCAATAGCAGGAAATCCTGACGTTTCCAAGGACTGGGAGATGGCCCCTTACCTCACCACATTCCGCATGAGCAAAAAGAATGCTTCCTTTGCCGAGGTGCAGAAGTTTTTACCATATATGGCAATCTGCAAAATAATAGTAGCTGTTAAGTATTTTAAATAATTAGGATACCTCCTTGTATGCCAGAATCTTACTGCGTGTAATGCATAGTTCTCTGTAATATGTGGCCTTGAAACTCAGATTAACATAAAGCACTTCCCCCAGTCATCTGCTACCCCTCAATGCTTCCCACCAGGTTGGGACAGAATATTATCCATCTTTCCCCTTCAAATCACCTGGTGATGAGCATGCCACCCCTTGTGATCTTGCAGGAAGCAGACTCAGTACTTAGTTTGCCAAGTAGAGCAAATAAGGTACTTGCTGAGGGATTCTTCTCACTTTGCTAGTTACCTACACTAGATTTATAGTCAGTGGAAAGGAACAGGCACTCATAGAGCAAAAATGAGTTGACGCCTGTAGGTATCTCCTTGGACCTGATGCTCCTCTCACTTAAGAAGAAATCAGCAATACCAGTATCAAAGTCGGTGGATTTACATCAGCATAAAGTAAAGCAGCTAAAGTTTTCAGGAACAAAACCATTTCTTCTTCCTGGAATAGTGTCCACAAGGGTAAGATATACTAGAACAGCTCTTAGTGCAGTCAGTTTACCAACTGTAAACAAGACAGTCAAAAAGAATACTTCCTCTTCAAGATGCCATTAATTTGAAACATCAATTGCATGAACATGGGTTATAATGGACCTATCAGAGCTACCTCCTTTGGGATAACAGGTCCATGACTGTACCATTCAATCACTGAAATTGCTTCAAGTCAGAACATCCAAGGCTGAAATCTGTATGTTTATTTAGGTGAAAATCTGGAATTTCTCTTCTGGAAGATAAGGAGGGTTATTTTAGAGTAATATCGCTGCTGCTGCTAGTAGAATTTGTGCTTTTAACTTCCAGGAGGAAATACAGATACCACATGCCTTCTGACCTCCTTATTCAAACACTACCTCCAAACAGAAGTGTCATCAAGATGCAGTCTGAAACAAGCTAATATTCCTGTTGAATTCCTTATTCAAACACTGCCTCCAAACAGAAGTGTCATCAACATGCAGTATGAAACAAGCTAATATTCCTGTTGAAATCAGGACTTCAATTGCTGAATCAGAGGGGGAGTTAACCAGTTATGCCATCCCTTCCCACTTACTTTGGGGGGCTGAGGGGAATGGACAAGGACAGGCATGAAAAGAGGCTGAGTTTAGAAGAAGAAAAAAAAAAGATCTTACTTTTTCACGGTAGGACCACATGCATTTCCTGAAAACTCCCATAAATCCCATTATTTATTCAGCAGATTCTAGTACTGCTGGTTGTCAACCAACTAGTAGTGGCTATGGTATTTTAGTGTCCCAGATAGGGGAGACCACATGCAGAGACAGCACATACCATGATGTAGGCATTTCTGTTTATAAATTTTAAGAATTTTTCCAAACACCAGAAACAGCATTTGAGGCAGCAGAGTAGAAATCTAGTGAAGGAGTTCTGTGTACCTGAAAAAAAGGGGAGAGTACATCATACGTAGAACTCACGAACACTCTTCAGAACATAGAAAGCTATTCAGAAGAAAATCTTAAATTGTGACAAAAGCAGAAACATTATTTATTGTCTTCTAGGTATGGACTCTCTTTCTCAATGAAATTTAGCTCACTAGCTTTCAATTAGATCAGATCCACATCCCGCATGAACTTTGCATTAAGTTCCCAAGGATATAGACTCAATTTGAGTAAATCAGCACACATTCACTGGCTTCAAAGGGAACTACAGTGGCTAAAAATAATGTGGAATTAATCTCTTTTCATTGCTGAAGAAACATCTTGAGAAAATAAGGAAGTAATTTACCAAAGGAGGTCTTAATAACACAGAGCAGATTCATAAATCTCACCTTTCAGTTTGTGATCCAAGTACTCCAGTATTACTCTAATAAGCTGGACAATTGCAAGAATTAAGGCTCCAAATGCCAACGAACCTGTATGGTATCTAAACAAAATAAATGACTGTTATATTGCACATACGTGTATATGTACAATTATATACATATATGCGTATGCGTGTGTACATATATATAAATAAAATTCTAACTGGAGGAAGGTCCATTAGTGGGAATTACATATACTAATGGACCTTCATTCTGATCCACCAGAGAGAGGAACAGGATGAAGCCATTGGTGCTGTTGGTGTTTGTGTGAGTGCTGTGTCTGTCTGTCTGTCAATCTGTGTGGCCAGCTGTGTATATATGTGTTGTATACATGTGCGCCTACTGGGAATACCTGCTCAGCCTTGTAATTGGTTGGACCTGGCGGCGTGGAGCTGCAGCAGCCTTGCTGCTATTGGGCTACAGGATTCAGTCTCCTCCTAACAACTACATTTTCCTGACTGTACTGGTTTTGGATGGAACAGAGTTAGTTTTCTTCATACTAGTTTGTACGGTGTATGTTTTGGATTTGTGATGAAAACAGCATTGATAACACACTGATGTTTTAGCTATTGCTGAGCAGCGTCAAGGCCTTTTCTGCTCCTCACCCTGCCCTGCCAGCAAGCAGGCTGGGGGTGCACAAGAAGTTGGGAGGGGACACAGCTGGGACAGCTGACCCCAACTGACCAAAGGGATATTCCATACCATATGGTGTCGTGCTCAGCAACAACAGCTGGGGGGAAGGAGGAGGAAGAGGGGGATGTTTGAAGCTATGGAGTTTGTCTTCCCAAGTCACCGCTACACATGATGAAGCCCTGCTGTCCTGGAGATGGCTGAACACCTGCCTGCTGATGGGAAGTAGTGAATGAATTCCTTGGTTTGCTTTGCTTGCACACACAGCTTTGCTTTACCTATTAAACTGTCTTTATCTCAGCCCACGCATTTTCGCGCTTTCACCCTTCCAATTCTCTCCCCCATCCCACTGTGGGGAGTGAGCGAGCGGCTGCGTGGGGCTTGGCTGACTACTGGGATTAAACCACAATGCTGATTAATCATTTCCATTCAATATTCTAAGTCTGGCTTCCCTAGATGCAAAAAGAGCACTTGTTGGATACATGACAAGGCTCACATCCAGCTCCACAGTCTTACCGTATTGCTCGTCCAAATGAAGAGAAGAGTGGCCACAGTGGAATATCAGCTGGTTTTCGAGAGGCCCAGTAATAAGAGGCAAAGGCACCAGCAAGGGTACACTGACCCAGTGCAATTGCAAAGTTCACCAGCCAGAGAAAGACAAAGGCATTGGCTAACTGGAAGATGAAGATGTACTTATGATACAGGCTTTCTCCTCCATAAAAAGCAAAAGTACACTGAGCACCCGGACACAATTTAGTCACATTGGTTGTGTTAAAAGTCTGTATAGAAGGAAAAATAAACAACACAATGGTAAGCAATGAATTCTGTGTACACAGTCTCTGAAGTTTAGCAGCTTAATACAAATAACATAATTCTGCTTGATGTTTCATTAGCTCATTCAACACCGCACTCCAATACTATGTAACATATTTACATATTTAAGGATTCATATTAATGTCTTATGCAGGTGCTTAACTTTATGCAGTTAGCAAACAGGGCTGTTTACCACATGCCTGAAACCTACATAAATGGAATCTGAATTTCAGAAATCTACTTTTAAGATACATAAGCACTTCAGTTTCATTAAAGAAAACCTGCTCACATTAAAAAAAAAAAAAAATTATTTGAAAACCAGAGGCCAAATCTCAGTTTGGGTAAATCACCACAGTTGAACTGAAATCAGCTGAGCTATGCCATTTTATACAAGCTGTGGATGTAGTCACAATTTCCTTTACCTATCTCAGAGTATTAAAACAGGAGCAGTCTTTACATTTAATTACTTTTCCCTATTTTTATTGTTCATTTCATGTATTTGCTCAGTTTGGGCATGAAATAAAACCAGTCAATTTCTCGTCCCTTTCTTTTTAGCGTTCAGACATCAGCAGGGTGGGGAATTGTTTGGGATATACATAACCACAGCAGTACATTGAAATTTAAACACCTGAAAATAACCCTGCTGTAACATTTGATAAATATTTCTAGTTTTCAAAAAATACTTAAATTCAGCCCCACAGTCAAGTCAAAACATTTGACTGAAGACAAAACAAACAAAAAAAGACAAATATTTTTGGAGCTTCATAAAGGTCATTGCTGTGCCATAAGAACCCCAATATTTAGCCAAGCCTCTGCTTCAAAACATGGCTAGTCCTTGGGCAAGTTTGAGGCACAGCTTTCAAAGTCTCACATTGCCTTTTGAGGACCATGAAATAGAATCCTCATGAATTCAAGAACACCTTTCCAAATAAACCTGTATTTCTGTGTCTTCCTTTCTCACCCTGTAAATTAGAACAGTTAATATTTACCTGCCTCACAGGACAGTTTAGCAGAAAAATTAGTTTATGTCTGTAAATTGCTTTGAACAAAGAAGTGTTATCTGAACACTAAGTACTATTTTCACATTTAACATGAGGAAACGTTACTTAGAATATACGTATTTTCTACGAGCATTGCATTTAGTAGTGATTAAGAAATGCAATTAGTATAGCTCTCACTATAGGTAAGTATTTGTTACACTTACCTCTGGGTCACAAGTCAGGTTTGCGTATTTGCACAGTGTTTGATTAGCCATTACTTTATACACAGGTTCTCCTGATGTAGCCAGAAAACTGAATGAAATATTTTAAGGAGGAATCACAGAATTGTAGACTTTGAGCAACTTCAGATTCTGCAGTGGGTAACCACTAGCTCTAAAGAACTTGTGCAGATAACAGAAAAACTGCTCTTGCTATGCAGCAATGTATATGAAGGGTTGATAGACAAGACTGAATACTCTCATTACTTAGAGAACTAAGGCAAACTCCATCCCAGAGCTGTAATAACTCCTGACCAGAGTGGGCAAGGGAAATAACCTTGAAAGTTGACTCAGTCTCTCCTGCACATCTACTTTTGACAAGGCAGATTATGCAGTAGTTCTTTGACAGTTCGTATTTTGGTGGAAGTAGACACAGAGCATAAGGATAAATTAACATTGTCCTGAACAGCAACAACTGACCCTCTTTGCATGTGAAAGAACAATTTGTTTTCAAAAACCAACTTTCCCCTTTCGGATACCTTGCAAACCCTTGCTGTTCTGGGAACAGACAGACAGTGGTTGCTGTTATGCAATTTAGAGAGGACTCAGTGTACTGTATGCACTCTGTATTCTCTCACTCCTTTCCTATACTTTTCTGAACAAAACACACTTGGAGCCCACCCCACCCCCAGCTAACTAAAAGACCATTAACATCAGGCCTACAGAGCATGCAGCACATTAAAGACCATATTCACTCTTTGCTGAGGGCCCTTTTTTACCCCTTGAAGTCAACCTTATGTAGTACACAAGGCCTTGTATGATCCCCCTGCCTTGGCATGAATTTTAGTCCAGTTATTTTTAGTGAAATTAAATTCATTGTCCGATTTGTACATCACATGCAAAGTGCAGTGAGGAAGAGTGCATCAGTGCAGCAAATGCTAAGTGACCAAATAACCCTCTTAATGCTTGTTTGGTTAAGGCGAAAGCAGAGAATTATCTGGTCTTGCAGACCAGACGACTGTTCCTCCAGAGAGGTACACAGACAGAAGGATACACAGCTGTCACAGCCCAGTAGGAAATACAAATTGCAATGAGTATGAAGGTGACGATTGGGTAGAACAATGTAGACATTATATAGCCAATAGCCCTATGAAAGAAACAAAACATATTAGTAAGCCACAACAATTTAAGAAACAAGCTTTTTATCAGTCCTCTTCTAGCATCATCCTTTTTACTTTGAGCTCCTTGTTGATAGTGGTAGCATAATCTAGTGCTGGGATCTCAGAATACTGCAGGTTCTTTCTTCAAATGTCTTCACATCTTCACTTTGTCATTTCTACCGCTCCACTTTTATTGGCAGCACTACAGCCAACTTTATCAATTTGCTATGTTCAAGCTTGCCTTCTACTTCCTCCTTCTCCATTACTGCTTCAGAGATCCAGCTCTTTCCAGGTCACAAACCCATTTCAATCACATCTCTCTGCTGACTGCTGCAGACATTACCCTTTATTTCCTCATCCCACTCCGCTCAGTTCCTATGCCCTTCCTTCAGCTCCTACACACTTGAAATTACCTCTTGCTACTTTGTATTTGAGGATTCTGTTCCCAGCCCCTTTCCTGCTTTAAGTACTAACTATTTTGGGGCAGGGACATTCAACTTGTCTTTGTAATGCTGGGACATGCTAACACCTTCCTGTGACTATGTGACTTTCCTTGCATGTGCCATAAATGAGTGGTGCTTGCCTTTTGCTGTTGACAGCTTAGAGAGCTCCTTTTAACATCAAGGCTGATGTTTTAGAGGCTGACATTCTACTCATACTTCTTGTGGCTAGAATGCGACTAGTGAGCAGGAACTTGAGCATGCCAGTTCCTACTCTGCCAGGGACGACTCCTCTGGAAAAGAGTGAGTTGATACAGCCCCTCTGGGTAAACTGGCTGCAGCTATCTCAGAGGCAAACACCTCCAGCTGGGTATCTCACTGGATGTGATTTCAGAGAGCGTGTGTTTTGTTCACTGAAGCTTACAGGTTGTTCTCTACCTCTTCCCATTACTCTAAATTTTCTTTCCAGTGACCCTGTAAGCTTATCACAAGCCTTTTTGTCTCTTATTATGTCCTATAGTATTTCTCCTATGACTTGTGGCACTTCCGATGCTATTTGTTTTATAGGAGGCAGTTTCCAGAGTGTAAAAGGAGACAAATTTACTCAGTTCCTGCTGCTAAACTAGTAAATGCTGGGGGGAATGCAAGGGAACTGTCATGGGCAATCAAGAGGTTAAGAGCAACACATCAATTTCTGTCTGAGTCTGGAGATGTAAAAGCCCATTAAGAGTCACACAGTCTTATGCTGTCTGAGAAATAATCACTACATATTAGCAGTGTTCAGCAGTTAATGGCAGGCCTCTTAGTTACCACTAAGACCATGGACAGTTACTCCAACAAACTGAGTAACAACTGTTAATTGTTTCTAACTATGGATTTCAAGTCAATTATTAGTATTAGAATTGTAATATTTTTGAAAGTGTAGTTAAAAGGTATTGAAAAATGTAATTTGATTTCCAGTCATTAGCAGCGTATTTTTGATCTTCCTGAATACAGAGCATGGTCTGTTAGGTTTACAGTAATTACATACAGTGTTTCACCTCATGCATTATGCATGAGAGTAAAAACGTCACCCTCAAGTGACCTTTCCATGCTGCTGAAAAACTACAGAATGTTATTACTT